ACGAGAACCTCTCAATGTTCTCGTTGCTCACCATCTTTGTTTTTCTTTGTGTTGAACACGCCTCACGCACCTGATGTTTTCCCTGCTGTTCTAATCCCCCTTGACTTCTATGATATTAAAGAAGCACTCTATGGGTAATGCATAATGCACAAGAGTTGTACAAATGGACTTTGACAGTTGTTTGTTTTTCACTAATATATAATTTATTTATTTATTGCACAATGACAAAAAAATGAGAAAAAAAGTCCCTTCAAAATGCTTTGTTATTATATATGTATATATGTATATATAACACTATACCCATATATATATATATGTATATTTATTTATTTATCTTTTTTACATTTTTCTAGCATTCCCAGTCTTTGGTTGACAAATTTTATCCTCTTGTCTGGAAGGAAAAGATGGAGCAGCATGCCACTGAGACAATGATCATACAAGATTCATGGCAGTATTCTTAAAATGTTACATACCGAAGTCAGAATTATCATCTTCTGCTGGAAACGGGATAATGGTTTTGCTCATGTCTGTCTGTCTGTTAGCAAAATGTCATGAAAAGCAGAACATATTTTATTAAAACTTGCAGAAATTATTTACTGCATGAACATCTACAAGAGAGTAACTTTAGGAATTAACCCAATTCAAAGTGGCTGCCGCTGCCAACAAACCTTAAAACACACAAACATTTCTTTAACTCAGTTTTTTTTTTTTCATTCATTCAACCTTTATTTAGACAGGTAAATCCCATTGAGTCCCGAGGACTCACTTACATACACTCATTTTACAGTTGCTAACCTAAAACTGGCTGTTAAAGTCTTTGAGACAGTCCCCACCGCATCATTTGAGCATTAGCAGATCACACCAAATCTTTACTTTCACATTAACTGGTTGGACTTCACTCTGTCTTTTACCAAAAATATCTTCCCAATAAAAAGACACATTTTAATGAAACATTCAGGAATTAAAAACAATTCATTACTCTTGGAATAAATCAGCTTTAGGATGATGAGCTAATTGACATGATCTTAATAACCCTATAATGTCCCTAGGTGAGAGAGTGAATGGTTGTTTGTCTTGTTTGTCTCTATGTGTCCCTGTTAGGGACTGAATAATTGTCCAGGTCTCCATGTGATGGACCACAGGGACACCCTGGACAGGTCTCCAGTCCATCACAGGGACACATAGAGACAAACAATCATTCACTCTCTCACTCACACCTAGGGACACTTTAGAGTTACCAATCAGTCTAACATGCATATTTTTGGTCTGTGGGAGGAAACTGGAGTACCCAGAAAAAATCCATGCATGCACGGAGAGAACATGCAAACTCCACCCAGAAAGGCCCCCAGCCAGGATTTGAACCGGCGACCTTCTCGCTGAGAAGGAACAGCTTTCCCAACTGAGCCACTGTGCCACCCCACTGCTACCATGTCATTATTTGTTAAAAATACAAAGCACAAATGGACAATGGCGTGTATAAATGCTAATTCCACCTTTGCTGTTTCTGTGTAATTTAAGAGAGAAAGCAGCAGCAATGTGTTGTCTGTCAGGCTGTAGTTCATTTTATCATGACTCAAATCAATTTATAATTATGATCTGTAGATCAGCAGTAGAACATAAAATCACAGGCTTGATTCTCCGCTATGCATGTACATTAAGGAGTCTTTGAGTATTCCTTATCTGTCCCCAGGGTATTTAAATATCTGCCCCCTGCTCTCCTCAGGTGCATTTAACATGTGATGGGTCAAATGGTCATTTTATTTGATTGATTCTGTGTTTTAAGATGGCTACATGACACAGGGACTGTTCTTGATTAGGAATAAAAGTACAAATTCTTGACTCCATACTATAAACTTCATTCATCCATTCAACCTTTATTTATACAGGTTAGTCACATGTGAGGGAGAGTTGTTGCTTGAAATCAATATCAACCTTCAGCAGTCCTTGGATGTTTATAGACTTTCCATTATGGAAGAGGAGCTCATAGCAAACTGCTGAGGAGGCAACGAGCTGCTGGAACAAGGATGCACAATATGATGTGTGCAAAGAAACACAACTGAGACTAAAAATTCAGCGTTTTGGCACAACTTAAACCCAAATCACACAAATCATTGCCTCTTGTTTTCCAGTTTTGTTTGTAAATTATCACACAGTCTACTGGATAAACTGGACAACCTGAGTGTTCTGGATCTGCAGACCTCAACCACAGGAAAGTGATGGAGGTAGTGAGGGTGTGTTCCAACTTCAGCATTAATAGCAGCTATAAACCAGCGCAGCAGTATCACAGAAACCATGGAAGCAGTCTGGGTTTAATACACCATGTACCAAACACGTACACAGATTTATGGGCTCCTGATTCTATGATAGAAAGTGGAACAAAGGGGATTTAAAAGTCTAAGCACCCATGGTGTCTACATCACAGACATTAAAGTAATAGTCATTGACAACTTGGTAAATGTGATGGAAATTGTAGTGTTACAATGCAGAACACTGGATTTCATCTCCTGTGAATGTTATGTATATTTAAAAAAATTCTACATTTTAGTCCATTTTAAAAAGAAACCATATGTAGACATTTATAAAACGTTCACTTTTAGGCCATATTTAGTCCAGTTCTATTTGTTTGTATACGACCGAAACATAATCGCGTACAATGAGATGTCAATATAAAATCAAATCTAAGGGACACTGTATGCTTTTGTCTTATTATTAGGAGTGATAAAAAGTTTTACATCAAAAAGCAAGGAAGTAAATGAAGTTCTAGAAAATGGGCAAGCAGCGATGCATGGATGTGCTCAGCAGATCTCTATGTGACCTGGGACCACTGAGATGTGTCTTAGCACTTTTCCTCTGCATGTTCCTGTTTTTAGTTTTCTAGATCGCTTTACAGCCTGGCTGTTTTTTTTTTTTTTTTTTTAATAACATTTTATTTTATTTGTTCTTTTCAATTTGCATACTTTTTATGATTGTCTACTGTTGTCTTTGTTGTCTACTGTTGTCATCACTCTTTGTGAAATCAGGTCTCTCTTGTAAATGAATACTTGAAGGTCAATGAGATTAACCTGTAAAAATAAAAGGTTGAGTACATGTAGCTTTTTTTTTGTTTATTTTTTATTTCCTTTTTCATTTCTATTTACTTTTCATTTTATATGCTTTTATGATTGTCTTTTGTTATCTGTACATCATTTGTGTTCTTTGTTTAAAACAGGTCTCTTTTGTAGAAGAGTCCTCGTGGCTCAATGAGACCAACCTGTATAAATAAATGTTGAATGAATGCATGATTAGATCATTTTACAGCAGGGTAATGCTAATGAATGCTAATAAATTAAGAAAACTAAAGATGTTCAACAGCTTCCTATTTTAAAAAACAACACTGCTGAATTACCAGTAACATCAATCAGAACCAGTGAATCATCATTTTGTTTATCCATCCATCATCTTTACCTGCTTCTTCGTTTTCAAGTTACGGGGGTCACTGGTGCCCATGTCCAGCAGTCACTGTTTGAGAGGCGGGGCACACCCTGGACAGGTCTCCAGTCCATCACAGGGACACATGAAGACAACCAACCATTCACTCTCTCACTCTCATCTAGGGACAATTTAGAGTTCCCAACCAGCCTATGGTGTAGAGGTAGGGCAGCTGACTTGGGACCAGAAAGTTGCAGGTTTAATTCCCTGTCATGCCCACATGTCGTGGTGTCCTTGAGCAAGACACCTAATTCCAAATTGCTCTCCGGGTACTTACATAGCTGCCCACTGCTCCACCTGGTTTATCTCAGGTGTGATGGGTTCAATGCAGAGAACTCATTTTGTCATTGTATGGGAACATACAATGATGACAACACATAGCACTTTACTCTATGTAAGCTTTTGTTCTGTGGGAGAAAACCCATGCAGCATCGCTCATGTAAACCCCATTCTAAAAGATTCCCGGCTGGGATTTGAACTGGCGACCTTCTCGCTGAGAGGCAACAGCTCTACCATCCACCGTGCTGCCCGCTAACAAACATATTGTCACAAATGCCAATTTACAGTGTATGTTTTATTTTCCTAAAGAGTATTGAGAATAGACATTTTTATCAAGCATGCTATAACAAGAGAAAGCCTGAAAAAAAAATAATAATCCGGCTTTGCTGTCTTAACGAAAATTTACTTTACAATTTTCCGTTCGTCCCATCAGTTACTTAAAAATCTTGATTTGGCTCACTGGAAAACAATTCTTTCCCACGCATGCTCAGGAGACCGAATCAAATGACAAATTTAAAATATGATTTGCCAATTTCTCAGTGTTGAAATATTGGATAACATAAATATGACTTATTGCAACATTAAAAACAAGTTAGTACTTTTTTGTATTAATCTTAATGAAATGAACAACATCTGATGATTGATTGATGATGACAACAAGCATCAATAACAAAAAACAGAAAGTTTTGGATTCTCACAGCTGAGAAAAGAATGAAGCGTCATGTAACGGTAACATTTGGTGTCAATACAAATTAAAGAACTGAAAAATCTACTTTGAGCTGAGGAAGGGATGCAAATGTATATTTAGGCAATACCACAAAAACAATCAATAAAAAATACAAACTGCATAAAATTAACATTTACTGTATTTTTTAGTTGTGTTTATTTTATTTACATTTTTTAAGTTTAAAAGTCAGACTTTAGTCTTGAACTCCTCAGATTTCCCGTGTAATTCATCTTGTTTCTCAAACTCTTCCAAAGATGAACATCTCGAAGTTTCTGGTATCCAAAATATATGTTTAGATATTATTCCAGGGAGTAGAACTTGTAAACACATTTTCAGAGGCCCATAAGTTAGTGCAACAGGTAAACGTTTAATCCAAAAGTGCTTCCATTTGACAAGGGGGTGGGGATGGGTGGAGAGAATCTAAGGTGCTTAATCTCAAGCATCCAATTTCTTGGGAAACAAATGTCAATTTAGTGTAAAGTCACACACAAAACATAAACTCTGGCCAAAAATGGCTGCTCCTACCTCACAAGCTGCTATTATGAGCTCGTAGAGAAGCTGTATGTGTCAGCATGAAGCTCTCAGTACACTGCTGGCTGCTAGCAGATGGTGACCTACGTGGTGACCGCTGAAATCGACTCCGCCGGTTGAAGTAGTGGCCTCCTGTCCAAGACCTGTTGTGCTTCCTCAGGTACTCCTTATAGTTCTTGGTGAGCAGCGTGTAAAGGAATGGGTTGATGCAGCTGTTGCAGTATGTCAGGCACGTGGTCAGGTAGTTGATGTTGCGTTTTGCTTTGTCAGAGAGGGGCAATGGGTGGTAGAATTGAAATAGCAGCTGCCAGATCCAAAAAGGCAGGAAGCAAGCCCAGAAGAGAAGCACAATGGTGAAAATCAGATACAGCACCTTCAGGGAAAAGACATCAAAGAAAAGTAATGAACAGGAGTCAAGATGTGTTGTGGAACTATATACACAAATACATTATTTTGTGATGCACTGACCTTTTGATTTGGTAGTTTCTTGGTCTGCTTGAAGCTTTCTGTTTGTGAAATCCAGTAAGTGCGAGCTAGCTGGATGTAGAGATAGCCAATAATCAGTCCTGGAGCAATGATGCTTGTGCAAAATAGGAAGGAGATATAAATCTTGTAAGACAGTGTGGATAATGTGGACTGGCAGATAAGCTTGGTGCCCACTGTCATTAACTGGATGCTCATAATCATCGGCAGAGTCAGAATCAGAGAGGCTGCCCAGACCAGCAAAGCAATAGCTTTCCGGTAACTTTTGGATCGCTTGACCGTATCAAGTGGCTTGAGCACTGCAAAATAACGTTCTGTGCTCATGATGGTCAATGTAAAGATGCTGGCATGCATGGTCAGGAAGTCCATGCTGATCAGTATTCGACACCCTGCATCTCCAAAGTGCCATCCCTTCAAGAAGTGTGTGCAGACTACGAAAGGGATGGTGAGAAGATACAGCAAGTCAGCTAAAGCTAAGTTTATAATGTAGATGTACATCGAGGCTGCAGTCCTCATAGACTGGCACATGACCACCAGGGTGTAGATGTTCCCTGAGACTCCGATGAGGCACATGACAGAGAGGATGGTACCAATGGTAAAGGTGGCAGCTGCATCCTGGTGTGAGTTCATGGGTGAGTCAGTGGCATTGGCACTCCTTTCCACCAGGACTCCTACGGGTTCCATGGACACCGTTGTCATGCCTGCATAGGTGAGAAAGATGGTAAATGGACTGTACTTATATAGCGCCTTTCTATCTTATTTCAAGATACTCAACGCACTTTACACTACAATCTGTGTCCTCATTTACCCATTCATACAGCACTCTACTAGATCTCTACAAAGATAATTGAATAAATCATTCTAAAGAGACTAATCAGTGTTTTAGATCACATTCATACACTGATGGGACACACATCAGAGGCTATGAGGGGTTCAGTGTCTTGCCCAGGGACACTTCGACATGTGACTGCTGGTGGATTCGAACCCCCAGCTCTCGCACTGGAGGATGACTGCTCTAACCACTCAGCCACAGCCACCCCAAAGATGAAATGTTCAACTTTATTATTCAATGATCCATGAACAGTTGTATTTTTATTTAAGAGCATCTTTTCTGTAAAGGGGAGAGCTATAATAGCCAATTTTGTGTCAGTCCTACTTTTTAATTTGTACCAGAAAAGGCCATTAGATATTGACTAGATTAACTTGATTTTCATGAAAAGCTTTATCTCAGGCTTCATCTTTGAATGAAAGCCCACATTTTGCTCATGCACTTCAAAATCAAGTTCTAAAAATAGCTTTGAATTCATACAAATTATCTTGACTCTGAATAATACACAGCATAGATACACATAATATTTCCTTGTAGGTTCTTAAAGTTTTCTACAGGAGTCAGTATTCGTCACTATGCAAATATCTGAAACTATGTCCTGAATGTTAACTGTATTGTCACATTTACAGTTAAATTAAAAAATGGTGGTGTGTTATTTATGAAAGTTCATGTGTATTAAGAAAGAGCAAATCTTGCAAAAAAAAAGTCAAATGAGCATAAGTGCTTTAAATATTTGGTTTATTTTGTAGTGAACTTAACCTGATGTCAAGACTAAGCCTAAGGTCAAAACCCTTGACCTTAAGAACCTTGTGGGACAGGAACTGTCATTTCATTGATTTGAATCCAGAAATACAGGTTCACCCATCCTGAGACTCTCTTTCTTGAAAATCAAGTGGAAGAACACTCTCTTTTTATTATCATTACTATTTTACAAATGTTGATAATCAAAGTGTCTTAGTTCAAACCATTTTAGATGTTGCAGTGAACTAATCAATTTTATTAACTGTAAAACAGTAATAATGATTTTTAATGCTTATGCAGAGTTAGAATTCATGTTAAGGTCTGTTACAGATTTTTATGCATTTTCTGATTTCTGTCTTTGAATGAGCAAGTGTGCGTTTTCCAAGGTCAGGAGTCGAAGCAGACATGTGTTGGAACAACTGTCTTGTTTACATCCTCTCAGACGTAGAGTTGGCACCTGTTTTCCAAACTCGCCAAAACAAAACTCTCTCTGTCTCTGAGAACAGTTTAACCTGTTCCATAACAATTCTTGCTTTTTCTGACTCCTAGTAACCTCTTACGTCACAAAACACACCCCTGTCTGGTCGGTACTGACCAATGGGAAGACTCCCAAATGAACCGGGAAAAGAGCTCTTTAAAAATGTCGGTACTTCCTGGTTCTCGAGGTTCTGATATGTCCTAGTGCTGTGCAGTTGCTGTGGGAGCCAGTTCTGGATTTGCCCAGTTCTCAGTTCTGTGAAGTTCTGTTGGGTCTGGCTGGGAGCCGGGAAGACCCTGACATGACCACAGAGCTCTTCCGAGTTTCATGGGATTATAACACTTTCCACTTGCTGAGGTGAGCTTGTGTCGGACGGAATCTCGTCACTACTTCGGACGAGTCACAGCCATCCTATGGAGACGCTGGACAGGTAGCGTTAACTGGACCTCCATATCTGCTGATTAATCTTCAGAAAGGTAATGAGTCAAGTTTCCTACCAAAGCGCACCGAGGAGAGCTGGGTTCGAATGGAGGGTGCCGTTTCTGAAGCTGACACCACATTCTCCCTCATCCATCTTTTACTCCCTTTAAACTCCATCTTTCCATCTTTAAATTCTTCTCTCAAGTAGAAATCCTTCCAGATAATTTAGAAATGTCTGTGTAAAGTGCTCATCCACCGCCGTGTGGATAATTGATCATAACTGTACAGTTTTCATAAATGTCTGTGGTGAAGCAACGTAAAATCATGGCCGTATGGTTTTCCTGATTGATTGATTATGTTGTTATTTTCATATTTTGCCAAATTAATGTAAATGTTTGATGTTAAACTTTGATTCTGTAAATAAATGACCGCATTCATTTTGATGGGTCAAAGATAAATGACGTCTCACGTTTGCATTTCATTAAATTCAATGCACGTTTTATTCAGTCCAGAAAAATGAGGAATCCGTTTTAATTGATGAATATTTCGCAGCATCTGTTCATCTACAATTTCAATTTTATTGTTTTTACAATAACAGAAATGTTGACACTATTTTCAAAACAATGCACATGCTCTAGAGCCCGACCGATATATCTGAAGGGGCCGACATTTGAGGCTGATACAAATGTTTGGGACCTATCAGTATCTGTGATAATTGTCCTATTAAGTGCTGATATCAGCACTTCTACTTTTCACCCCTAAAATGCTGGAACCAGCTGTTATTATACAATATATCCAATAGAGGGCACATGAAGACTACTTTCAAGTCATGGTCATTCTCTTTAAGTTTCAGTTTCAGCACAGACAAAGCAGCCAGCAATAATGTGCAGTGTATTCTGCTGAACAGAGCATGAGTTTATTTTATCTGATCTGTAAAACAAATCAACAATAATAAATTCCCTTCAATCCTCATTAGCTATGTGCCTCTCAAGTTAGCAAGCTTACATTTAGCATAGTTGTAAAACATTATCCAGAACAATAAATCTACCGCAGAGGTAAATATATATCAGTGTTAGTAACTCTATCTTTGTCATCCTCAATGAAATGCATCATTTGTCTGAAATCTTTACTTCTCAACAAATAAAATAAACTCTGCTGTCGTCAATACTAATTAGACCTTCACCATACGTGACTGTTTAAACAATAAACAGGGAAGGACGTTGCTTTGTTTAATTTATATTTTTGTAACACACTTGATAACTTTATGGTGAATAGTGGAGGATAGAAAATGTGAACACACGTTAAGAAGACTGTTTTAATGACCAGTGCACCACTTGTAACTTCCTGTGGGACTAATTAAAGTGTGGATCTGATTAGCTTAGCTTCATGGTTGCTAACAGCTGCGCTAAATAAACCAGCCCTGCTCCACTCACTGTTTACTTAGATTCTTGGGGGTGGACAAAGCTCAAACCAAATTTCAGCCATTATATCGGTTATTGGCATTAGCCCTCCCCTCACAATGTCAGTATCAGCGATAGCCAAAAATTTCATATGTTGAGCTCGAATATGTTCAGTCCGTGTGATTTTCTTTATATTTACAGGATACTTGCCGTGCAAAGACCAAACCAAAGACTACCCTGAGCATTTGCTCAAAACACGGAATGGCCATGGGAACAGATACTTTCTGGCTACCTCATTGTGGTTTTTGAATATGCTGATGTGGTGTGGAGGTTGAAACTGATGGCAAATGTCACTGTGCAAGAGACAGGGGACACCTGGACAGGTCTCCAGTCCATCACAGGGACACCTGGACAGGTTTCCAGTCCATCACAGGGACACCTGGATAGGTCTCCAGTCCATCACAGAGACACCTGGACAGGTGTCCAGTCCATCACATGGACACATAGAGACAAACGAGAAAAAACATTTGCTCTCTCACTCTCACGTAGGGACAATTTAGAGTTACCAATCAGCCTAACGTGCATGTTTCTGGTCTGTGGGAGAAAACCGGAGAACCTGGACAAAACTCACGCAGCACAGAGAGAACATCCAAACTCCATCCAGAAATCCCCCCGGCCTGGATTTGTACAGGGGTGACCTGCTCTCTAAGAGGCTCTACCAACTGCACTTTGAGATTTTTGTTAATGAAAAGTGCGTTACAAATTAAATTCATTATTATTATTATTAACTGTGCCACCATGCTGCCCATGGCAGTATATCTTTGCTTAAAAACAACGTCCATTGCAAAATATGAAACAGCCATTCTAAAAACACACATTTCATGCAAAAAAAACATGTGGCTTCTCAAACGCTCCTTGGTGGCCTAGTTGAATTTAGAATCTCTGTGGTCTTGGAAAAAAAAAAAACATTAGGGGAGAATTGGCACACAATATACTTCAAGAAACAGTCCGTACCACCACTTAGCTATGCTCTGATGACTCTTGGATGCTTTTGCTACCAGTTGGTGTCAAAGACAGGCATAAAATCTAAACTGAAAAAAAAGTACTAATATTTACTGATTTTCTCCAAATGTTGGCATTAATCATGATTCTAGTTTTGATCTTATTGATATATACTATACTCATAAAGATTGTGTGATTCATGAATTCAGTATGTCTTATGACTCTTACATTGAGGTGTTACAAATCATGTTTACAGCTGGTCTTAGGCCTTCCTATCCATATTGTACATGATATTGGCTTTATGTCTTTATCACAATTTAAAAACAAACTGTATTGTCGCCATGACGGTATTACACTGTCAGTTTCAATCTAACTTGTTGGATTCAAAATGAGACAGTCAGAAGTGATGAATATTTTTCTATCAATGACAGAATTCCCTTTTGGCCAGATGTATGTAGAGCTGTCAGACCTCAGATAGAAATCACTACAAAGTATTTTAGCTTGTGACTGAAGTGGCTCCAAACAAAGCCAGTCTTGGTTAGCATTACACATTAGATCTCACTAATCTATACATCTTCATGCATGCACCTGCAGACATTTCTGAGGGTTAGACTCGTCTACAGTTTAATGTAATTTGAATTAAATTATCTTACCTTGGCTGCCAACTTGGACAAAAAGCTTCAACTCTCAGTCAACCACAGCTTCATCCACCATGCTTTGACTCAGTTTGCTCCTCTGAAGTTTGCACTTACAGCAAAAATATAAAAAATCATAAAAAGTTTTCATATAATCCTACAGAGTAACCCAGTGATGAATGCAGGTGGATCAA